AGGATTTATAAAGTTTCATGGGTACAGTTTACGAACGAGGTATTGTAGAAAATAATATATTGACTGAATAAGTATTTACAGGTTTTTTCTCTTCGCAACTGACATGTCAACTAAAGTACCATCTTCTCGACCATCGACCTCCGCGATGGTTTCTACCAAATCATGATGTGTCTGTGCGACGTCCCTAAAACAGCGGTTTCCACATCGAGTGGCATGTTGTGGGAGTGGCTGGTCATGCCACAGGGTCTCTCCAACGCCCCAGCGACGTTCAACCGCATGGTTACCGCGAAGTTCCGTGCGTTCCGCGACTTCACTCCGTCGTACATTGACTACATCTACGTCCACAGCTGCGCTTCACCCGCGCAGTCGGATTGTGAGGTCCACCGTGGCCACCTCCGCCAGGTGTTTGAGGTCCTCCGTGCCAACGGACGCTACGCCAATCTCGCCAAATGCATGTTTGGCGTCGACGAAATCCCAGTCCTGGGAGACTTGGTGGGTGTGAACGGATGCCAGGCTGACCTCGACAAGGTAGGTAAATGCCATCTCGGAGTGGCCTTTTCCGTCCTCCGTCAAGGATCTTCGTCGCTGGCTTGGCCTTGCGACCTACCTCCGCAAGTACTCGCACGATTTTGCGGCCATCACCCAGCCGCTGTTTCGGCTTCTCCTCAGGATGCTCCTTGGGTTTGGATTCTGCTTGTCAGTCGGCCTTTGAAGGCGTCAAGCTCAAACCTTCAACGCGTCCCGATCCTGGCGCTCCTGGACTTCACCAAACCATTCTCTGTCGTCTGCGACGCTTCGCAGTTTGCCATCGGCTGCTGCTTGGCGCAGCTGGACGCCTCCAGTCACCCTCGTCCGACTTCATATCAGAGCAGCCAACTTCATGCGGCTGAGCGGGCGTACCTGGTTTACGATTTGGAGCTTCTCTCCATTAAGTTCACCCTCACCAAGTTCCGCATCTACCTCCTCGGCGCTAACCCTTTGTGGTTTATACTGATCGTGCGTCCTTACGCACAGCGACATGCCGTACATTTCGCAGCGCATGGGCGCGCTGGATATCGTTTTCGCCGAATACATCTTCTCGGTCCAGTGCAAGCCCGGGAAAGACAACATCCTGGCGAACGCCCTGTCTCGGTGCCCCGATTTTGAACTGACCACGATCGGTCTTTTGTCGTCCGGTTTCCACGATCGGTTCCTCGCGGCGTACCCTTGACATCGACTGTTCCTCGCGCCTAGCGGCGCTCACGACGGACGTGGTGCTACCCCTCATAAACGGTTTCCGCCAAGCCCCGCCTCGCGTCGTCGGCTCTGCATCGCTTTGCCATGGTTAGTGGGTTTTTGATGTTCCAACCCAACGTGGGCTCACCACCGCGCATTGTCGTGCTAGGTGACGCACAGCGCTGCGCCTCACTCTTCTCCGTTCGTACCACTATCCCCGCAGTGGCGGCCATTTCGGCCGCGACAAGATGCATTCGATCCTGGCGCGCTCGTACTGGTGACCGTACATGTAAAAATCCGTCGTGCGCTACGTCGATCACTGCGACGCTTGCCAGTGCACCAAGATTACCGCCTCTTCTCGGGTGCCTCTCCAACTCCTGCCTATTCACGACGAACTTTGGTCGTTGATCAGCATGGATTTCACGTTCAGTTTGCCGCGCGATGCCCTCGGCAACACCGGTAACATGGTTTGCGTCGACCGCGTTGAAATACATCATTGCCCTCCCTGTGCGGGACACGCTGAGCAGCGCGGACGCCGCTCGCATCCTTTTCGACAATGTTTTCTGCTGCTTCGGCCTGCCTCGATCAATCGTTTCGGACCCCGATCCGCGAAGTTTTGGTCCACCCTTTTCGCCCTGTGCGACACCTTGCTCAACATGTCGACCTCGGACCATCCCGAGTCCGACGGTCAAACTGAATGCGCCAACCGTGTCCAGGAAGACATTCTTCGGAGCTACTACGTCTCGACCGGCTCTTTGTGGGCTGTCACGTTACAACACGTGGTTTTCGCCTACAACACCTCAGTTCAGGCGTCCACGGGCTTTTCGCTCCACTACACCGTCCATTTCCAACACCCCCGCCTTCCCCCGATGCTGGACGGCTCTGTCTCAAGCGGGGGAGGAATCAATGCGCAGCTCAGCCGCACACTCCAGACCATCCAGACTATCCTGTCCCACCGCGTCTCTATCATGCAACAGATTCATGGCAGCATCGCTGCCGCTCAGCAGCGCCCAGCGACTCAAGCCAACCAACATGGCCGCTTCCAACTTCGCGACTTTCACCGTCGCCGACCGGATCCTCCTACACAAATCGGCGATGACCGCCCATGCATTCCGCACTCGCGCGGCCGGGATGTCCTCCAATGCCAAGCAACGCAGTGCTTGGCCCCCTGCGTTTGCGCCGCGGTCGACATCGCCACCTGCCCCGAGGTAGCGACCGCACAGGCACCAGAAGAGTACTTGAAGCAGACCTTACCTCGGGTTCGGCGCCGCATATTTAAGCCGGCGGCGATCCGCGCGACAGACTGAGCATCCAAACGCCCATGCTTCTGTCGCCGAATCCCAGCGAAATTAGACAGCGAATTGGCTAACCGCCCCGCTGCCTTGCCCGACGAGCGTCTACACGAACGCTACAATGAACTCCAGCAATGTCTCGTCATTGCACAACTCGATACATCCCAAGCCCACAGTCCAGCGCTCAAAGCGCTCCCGTTCATACCACACGCGCATGGCGTCCTTGAACTCATCAAACCGGCGAAAACTCACCCTCGCCAGCTGCATGCCTTCCAAGGCCAGCAGCATCCTCAGCACATGCAGCTCAAACGACTGGGCACTCGCAAACAGGCCCACGCATCGCGTATCATTAGCATGTTGCATGAGGGACAGACTTAGTTGACATGCGAGATGATTGAGAGTTTTCGTTCATTTCCTGTATTTCCCAGAAATGCGCGCCGTTTCACTTTGACTATGAAAACAGAACTGTACTATTAATAGTATTACTTTGCGGATGAAATATTTTTATTGCGCATGTGCATGTTTTTGTGGTATTCGGACGATACAGTACTGTATGTCGATCGACATGCTCATATATCGAAAATGGACGAACTTTGATGTCGCTTTTCTCGAGCTGTGTAATACTTACAGCAAAACTACTCCTCACGTTACTACAAAATAGTCCATTACTAGCTCAGCCTATACAGCATGGTATGTGCATACACAGCTCGCTCTGGCATGAGGCATCTTACCCGCATGCAGGCCTTACCAAAAATATATTTAGGTATATATAATTGCAATACAATATATGTCTATTATTTATTGTTCAGTCATCGCAATAACAATACTATTGCTTCAATATCATATATTGTATTGACCAATACATTGTCTAAATTGGTCACAAGAAATTGATGCGAAATGTGATTTACATCACTTGAACCCATCTAAAATACGCCAAAACACAGCTGGAAGCATTACGATCAGCATCCAGCTCTTAAAATAGTCAATATCGCAACGGTGCTTGTGTTAGAGCGCAATTATGAGTCGGATTCCCCTTGTCCGCTCCAGTTCTGAGTTAATTGTTCATCGCATAAACAATTCTCTCCAGTACAGCAAGGGCAGCCCAACCAACGGCCCATGCCGGTCCCCGAAAGGTCCAACACACTCCATTGTAGGCCATCCAAGCTCCCCGAAAAGACGTCCATGCCCAATCCTCAGAGCCAATCCTTTTCCCGAAGTTACGGATCTATTTTGCCGACTTCCCTTATCTACATTCTTCTATCAACTAGAGGCTGCTAACCTTGGAGACCTGATGCGGTTATGAGTACGAACGAGGGTGCGAATAAATCTCTCGCCAGAATTTTCAAGGGCCGTCGTGAGCGCGCAGGACACCCTAAAAATCAAGGTGCTTTGCCATGGCTTCCTCCCTATCTCCGGGTAATCCGATTCCAGGGCAGGAAATGCATGTTAAAAAGAAAAGAGAACTCTTCCCTGGGCACACGCTAGCGTCTTCTGGGTCGTTTGTGTTACCACACATTATCCACGTCTCGGTTCGGGAATATTAATCCGATTCCCTTTCGATAAGCGGGACTGCGGCAAACAGCATCCGATGACACTGCCAAAACAATCGACTTTCAAACGGAATTCTCCTATCTCTTAGGATCCACTCATGGTGACCTCTGCCGACAAGGAAGCCTACGAAGAGGAAGCCTACGAAGAAGCTTCGGTCGTGGAGGATAGTGATGATGAATCTGACATTTAGAATAGGTTATAGTGCATAATTCAAACAACCGTACATTAGACAATACTATTGCACAATATATACAATATAATACTTCGAAGTACAATTATTTATTGTTCGCCCTCCAAATTTACAATAGAATACACAATACAATATTGATAAGGACTGCCCACATGTCTAGAAATACGACGAATTTGGCAAGTTCTCGAAGTTATTGTGCATTTCACCCAAATATGGACTTGTGAGTCCTTTCGCCAAATAGCATTCGAATCCATTTGATCCAATCTAAGCTTGAACAAACAATGCAATACAAAGGTTGGGATATAGTTGATTTTGCCCAATCCGAAGGGACGTTTGGATTGGCAGAAATTCATCAGAACGAGTTTTGATTAGCTTAGGCGGTTCTTTAATCCATTCTCTTACCGTATGACATTCGATTCTGCTGAGGGATCCAGTTTCGAATCGATTTGACAATAGTATTGGACGATCATATAATCCCCGACCAGTTAGAGCACTTCCAGAGGTTTTAGAGCCTGTTCCAAGTAGAATTCGAAAATCACGAATAATGGGGTGACAAAATACGTGTTCCCATTTTGTTGCCATTTTACGGCGATGATCGATTGGACATAAATCGTGTCCAGAAAATGCAAAGTCATTGGCCATGGTTGATGGCTGTGGCGTTGTCGTGTGGTACACCTACTTCAAGGTGCACATGACCAAGGACCACCCGGAGACCGCAATATCCGGAAGCAGTACGGCCGCCAAGTCGATGCGAACGACAAGGTGCTTGAAGACAAGGGCGTCGCAGATTTGCACCCTGACGACGTACAATTGTTGAAAAGCGTCCTCAAGTATCGTCTCGAAGGTGAAACCACAGTGCGCTTGCTGTTGGCGCTTTGTCGAAAGAGTAGTGGTGATCCTAAGGCACTCCTCCAACCCATGATTAACCAGCATGAGGCGGACGAGGACTACGCATTTTCGCCGCCGACGGCCCCTGTATCGTTGCCCTCGTCCACCCCTGTTCCACCACTTGCGGCCGCTGTTGCAACCACACCTGCATCCAGCATTCCGTCAACAGTTGTTGCTCCTAATCCCCCTTCGAAAGGCACAGACCCGAGAGAATTTCGACGGCTTAGCAGACTGACAAAAATGTTGTCATAAACGCTTTATAAGTGGAATGTATTCATGTTGAAGTGTTAACTGTGAAATGTTTTGTACTTCGTAATTGTAGAAATAATAGAAGTTATGTTATTTTTAGAGATTACAGAGGGTATGTAAGTTATTTATATACTACTACTTCTACTATTCGTTACTGTAGAAGTTATTGAAGTTATTTATATACTTATACTATTCGTTACAGAGAAGTTATTGAAGTTATTGAACGTCAATTATTAATACTACTTCTTGAAGCTTTTTAAATTAAAGAAGTTATTGAAGTGGCATATGTTACACAAGTTGTACCATTACATTATTAAGTACTCAAAGAACCCAACTTCACTTTTAGTTTTGCATTCCATTAGACTTCGTACGCCGTTTTGGCTTGGACCGGTTTGGATGGGTTCACATCAACTCCACACACACGTGGCGCTTGTGAAAGTGGGTCGTTGGTAAGATCTTGGGGTAGGATTGGAACGATGCGTCCTGAGTATATCAACTTGAAACACTTGGTCGAGTAAAAGTCGTCGAAGTACTGCATTGGGTCCAGACGTAACAAGTTGTAGCACCGCACAGCATGGATGCACGGCTTCTTGGTGTCAAACAAAGTACGGCACTGACTCCTCTGGGCTTCGAGGTCACAAAACGCCAAAGGTGAATATTGATTGCATTTGGATCGAAATGCATTGCTAAGAACGACTTCCCCAGGAGGATCACATCAACCTGCATACGAATAAGTACAAAGGACATAATATCATCGAACCTCGATACTGCGCGACTTGATGAGGAGGTTTTGATACAACCTTTGATGGGCTGGTGTCATGGCGTCCTCTGGCCAAGTCGCGCTCTTGGATGTAGTCAGCGTTTTGTTAACACACTTGTCTAGTAAGTTATAAAAGCTCTATAACTTATAGAAGTTCAAGTGGAGCATCACGGCATCTGAGCTGCGAAGCTCGTTGCCCAACCATTGATTAGCGGACTCACTCAAGTTCGAAGTGACGTTGGCATAGGTTGGTCTTGGAAAGGCAAATCTCACCCAATGCTTGATCGGGATGTCCAACAGGTATGCAGCAACGTCTATAACGAGTGTGTTATATAGGAAAAATAGTCAATGCACCTGGATTGAGAGCGCGCATCTGCCCCATGAGTCGTGAAAACGTTTCCTGGCTATCTGACCGAGCCAATTTAAACACGACGGCTTCTTCGCTGCTCGCCAATCGGAACAGGGACGTGTTGATGTTTGCTTTGATATGACGCATGCAAAATCGGTGAGGTGCATCATGGCACACCGCAGTGCAAGCGTTGATGAGGCCTATATCGCACACTGCGTAACTTCAAAATGTACTGGAAGTTTCGTAACAATCATAACTTCCATAACTTTTATTACTTCTATGAATTGCATAATTAAAAATAAGTTATACATTTTCATACCTTTCATACGATCCGAAACAATCACAGTGCTTGACAGAAGGACACCAGCGGATTGTAGACACCTCAGGAACCAAGTCCAGTGTTTGCCATTTTCAACAGGTACCATGGCGATTCCTAAATTAGACTTAGTGTATATTCAAGTACAACACTACCCAGCACGACGAGGTGGTTGATTGGATCCTTTATCGTCGCCAATAACAGCACACCGTTCTAGTTCATCAGGTCTTTCAAATGAGCGCCTATAAGTACAGTAATTAATAGCGGAACATGTTAATGTATTACCATCAAGCGCAACGAGGTTTTGACAATGCAGGAAAGCATTGACGCAAAAACCCGGCACAAGGACACTTCGATAAACGACCCATTTCTTGTTTCCACGGACGTAAACGTTCCAGGGTTTCGGGACTTCAGCAAGTCGAAGTAGCTGGCAACTTTTTCGAACGCCATGTCGACGGATCCATAGTAGTGCTTGACCAACGCGCGCTTTGCACGGCTCGCAGACGATGTTGAGATGGTTTCACCACACACACGTTGGATCTGGCCGACGATGTACTTTCCCGTGAGCTGACGCGGGTCCGTACAGGACATTGCAATATCCGGATTGGATTGCAGGGCATCGAGAATCTCGACAAGTTACATAAATTAAATTAGTTATGTAATTATTAGAAGTTAAATTAGGTATGTTCTAGTAACTATCATAAATTCAAAACTACAATAATTCTCACCGCAGACTTCGTCATACCGGGGGGGCGACTCGCATCCGAGGCTTGAAAAAGGGGGTGGTTGTGCAACAAGTTCATGGTAGTTATAGAAACAGACTTGTCCACACGCATTGACGCTCGAACTGCAAAATCACAATCCTCGTTACAACAAACCCACTTTCCAGTGATTTTGTTACGATACTTTTGTGCTACACGAAATCCTTGTTTCAAAGAAAATGCATTCAATCTCTCACGCAGCAACACGAAACTTCCAAAATCATGAACCTTCACATTGTTGATCACGCTACCGACAATGTAGTCGTCGGAGGTGACAGTGTCCTCCGTGAAATGCATCTCCATGGCAAGGAGCAAATAGTCATGCGAAACAAACGATGTCATGTGAAGATAAAAAACGAAGTGATTGATCAACAACGACACCGGTTAAGCTCAAGTTAAGTACGGATAAATTCTGTGGCTGTGGATCCCCTTGGTGTGAAATTCTACTCTACTGATCTGTGCAACTACTGTGCAAAAATTTACGTATCCGGATGTTTATCCGGCGTTATTCAATTCCCCGAGAACAGGTAGTTTTGGGCAGTAGGAGGTCCTGCTGCCAGGGAATTCCTCTCTACTGTAGTACATGTACTTGTACTCAGGAAAAGGTAACGTGATGAAATCGTTAAGGAATGCTCAAAATCGTTAAGCCGGGTATGAAAAACGTTATGACCCACCAAAATTCTGATAAAATGGAGCGTCTATGTGCGATGACATACCAATTTCATCAGATGGCTCAAGGACAGCCCTTGAAGTTCAATTTGTAGGCACAAAATGTTGACGATGAAGTGGGATGATCGCACCATATCGAAACATCTACAGAATTGTAGAAAACATCAGGTATAGTACCGTATTTGTTTAGTATCCTAAGGCGAAAATGCAGCTCCTATGCAAAACACCGAAACACCGGACCAAAATACATCGAAACGCCGCCACCAAAGGATTTAAAGAAGGATGTTAACTGTAGTTTCGAAGTCAAGCGCTATGTCGTCAGGTCTATATCTAGGAGGGTCATTTGTACACAGTTGATAGCTTGGAAGTTCATTGAGCGGAGATATGAGTGGCCTAATAACATTGGTGGTCTAGACAAGTCGACCGTCGATATCGGGCCACTCATTCACGCAATTCAACAGCCATAAGAAACACGTAAGTCCCTCCAACTCGTATAAATGGATGCTCCACGCGCGTGATTACGACTGCGAAATGAATTCGTGCATGTGTCGATTAATGTCGATAGGGTTTCTGTTACGATAGATCGTGCAATTCATATCGACATTGATCGCTGCGTGCACGAACATTGCCGTGAGTAGTCATTCATGGTCGCAGACAAGTTTACTGCGAAACACAGTGGTACGTATGATGACCTTAGTGTAAACTAATACTTCGAAGTACTTCGTAGTATAACGTTGTGTTTTGCTCGCTTTTCGCTTTCAGTACACGACAAACGACCCAACCAGATTTGTATTGTAATTGAAACAAGTAGTCGTACCGAAGGTAGTACGAATGGTCTCAACTGAGAAAGCAGACGACTCATGCATAGTGTAAAACAAACTACCTACTGGAGTGATTTGGAGGTCCGGTATTGAACGCAACGATGAAGCTAATGATATGGAGGACCTACAGTGTAAGTGATTGTCTCATTAGAATAGATGTTTTTGATCGTTGGTTGCAGCTTGAGTTTTGTCAAATGACGAGAAGTGGTAGAGGGAAAGTAGGCGTAGTGGAGAGGTGAAGATAATAGGGAAGGGGGCAAAATGGGTAGAAAATGAAAGAAGGAATAAGGCAGAAATAGTATCGATGAGAAGACTCGGGTAGAAGACCGAGGTAGTCCTAGTGGACCTTGCCAGAGAAGAGACTTAAGCTTGTCGAGGAAAATGTAGAAGTGAGGAGACTGAAACTTAGGCGAAAGTGTATGCTTATGATTGGTGGAAAATGCCGGTGCGTAGAGAAACGTAGTGCGGAAGAAGTTCCGAGACATAAAACCGAGGGCAGGCAAATTGACCACCGTGACAAGTTTGGTAGTCCGTCAATGCAGCTCATCAATCCCCCGATTTCGGCGCTGGTTCCATGCCACGAAAATTGCGAAATGACCGCACAAATTTATACATCACATAAAGGTTTGTTCCAAACGAAATAAGTTATTACTGGTAGCTCAGCGGTAAAGCCTCAGGTTCGTAGTCGAAAGGTCCCGAGTTCTAATCCGGCTTTTACACTACTACTATGGTCCACAACTATTCCGACATTTGGCGTTTTGATTTGGTCCACATTGATTCCAACATTTTTTAGTATTGACCATTGTATTCAAACGGGGAAACTCAAGGAAACTTGGAATTTGAATTGACTTGGGATAATTTATACTACAAGCTGATGCTCGCTTGATTATGGGAATTCACAAGATCGTCCAAGTGTTCCTCATCATTGAGACGCGCATTCAACATCATCAATGCTTCCATGACAAAGTCATCGTCACACGATACGTTGAAACGAGTCAAATCGACTCGAAGCTTATCTTTGCCAATGTGAGATAACTTGTATTGATTGCTACCCCGATGTTGTATCGACAACTTCATTACATTTTGAAGCGTAAGCAAAGTTTTAGTCAATACCTCGTGGGGCAACTCGCAAAACGCAGCATCAATCAATTCATCGATATTCAATGGCGTTGATTGATACTGTAAACTTTGAATAGAATTAAAAATCCTAAATCTAGGACATTAAAGTCCGGGCTGTTTGGCGGCTGGTTCCGCATTTTGATCGTCAACCCATCGCCGTCGGAGTTGTTCACCGATTGCGCGTGGGGTCTCGCATTGTCTTGTTGAATAAACACTGTCGACCTCTTCATGGCAAGTGGCATCTTCATCTGAATTGCTGGAATGACCTTGGTTGTCAACATGCGCAGGTACACTTCAGAGGTCACGGTCTGCGGCTGCGTGACCAACCTTCCTCTTGGGCGATTCTTGCTGCTTCGTTGCGCCGGCTCCTTGACGACAAAGGGCCACATGCCAATGCGCCCGTCGAATATGCGATTGCGCCCAACATCAAAACGTGGCCGGGCCACCGCACACAGAAACATAACCTTGTTATGAACCTCGTGGACTTCGCTTGTCGGTGGGGCAGCACTTCGTCGTCGTACACGTAGAACTTGCCCTTGACCCCCTCGTCAAGTAAAACCACTTTTCGTCAACATGCACGACGTTGTGCATGTCGTCGAAAACTTGGTTTCGCTTGACAAAGGACAGCGCAAACTTGACGCGTTCTTCCTTGTTGGCGTCGGTGAGCAGCGGTCGGTGGTACGATGACTTGCACCGATGGCGACGGTTTCGCTTCATGTGTCGCAGAATCGTCGTTCGGGGGATGTTGGCATGGAACGCCATTGCACGAGTGGTCTGACGCTTTTTGGAATGGAACTGCTTTGATTGCAGCTTCAATCGCCTCGGAAGCCCACTTCAATTTCGCACCACAATTTCCTACTACCTCCAGACGGAAATAGAAGTACCTTTTCAAAATCAGCCAAGGACGGAAATAGAAGTACCTTAGCAGAGCCCCATGAAATATTATAAATATATAGGCTGAGCCATATAAAGGTCAATATAATATAATAAAAACAAATGTTTTTTTTATTAATAATGCTTCTCGATACAAAGACTCAAATGAAATAAATATTACCTTCCAAAACATACATTCTTTATTCATCCTGGTCATCGATGTCAAGAGTTTCCAATGCTGTGAAGATGTCGCATCATTTCCAAGTCGCGCGCTGTCTGCAGAGACAGCTCAAGCATGACGGTGCTTAGGTCGACCTGGCCGAGCAGTGTGCAACCATCGTCGTAGACGTCTTTGCCGCGCGACACAGACTCGGGTAGGCGGCCACATTTCTTCAAAGCAGCCTTCTTCATGTACGGAATCTTGTAGGAGTTCCCTCCGGCGCAGCCGATGACCTCACGCAAGCATGATGTACTTTTGTTTGCGCCCAACGCGGCCTTTCTTCATGCTGGCGGTGTGCTCACATATCATTTCGCGGCTGGGCAAGTTGTCGCCACCAAGCGACACGTTGGCACGTTGCCATATCTTGCCAATAGTTCGTGGGTTGCGCCCAAAGATGCGAGCCACTTCAAGTATGGCCCCACGTTGCAGCTTGCACGGGTGCTGAACAACGCGTACGAGAAGGTGGTCTATGACAGCACGTCGCTGGTCAGCGGTCAGCTCCTTCATGAAAACGCGGGGTTTTGCAACTCAATTTGCCGCTCAAACTTGATCGACATTCTGATTTTCGGATAAAAAATCTTTGTATCCGTATGAATTTATCTTGCTTTTAGTATCTGAATTTTAAATCGTCCTGTTGATTTCGATGTGCTGTTTTTTTTTACACCTTCTAGTCCAGAAAACACGTTGTCTTCTGTATTTTATGAGCATGTCTTCAGATTTTTTATATTTATAAAAATAGTCAGGAAGATATGCAAATTTTCCCCTTAGGGTACTTCTATTTCCGTCTGGAGGTAGTAAAAGCAGTATAAATTGTGAAAATATTACCTCTGAAAAATGAATTCTCTATAATCTAATACCTTTCATGCGCGAATTTGGGAGCGTCGGCGATGGTCCGATGTGGGTCGACGCGCATGCAGCTTTATAGCTGTTCCAGATCGTTGAGACAGTTGAACGATGGCAGTTAAAGTGCTTAGCAACATCGTTAACTGACCCATGCTTTCGCTTGCCGTCATCGCTCTTCGAGAGCAACATGTTGAGCACCGCCTGGCGGTCGTCGTCGGGCAGGTTTCGGGATTCCAGATCCGCTGGGTTGCGTTCGAGACTCGGCGTGAGGGGAGGGCATTGGAAAGTGGCGAGATGAGCCTGTGGTTGTGAGGACGACGGTGTTGTTTCAGAAATAAGCTCTTAGCATATCATGTTACACTCGGCGCCACATAATTCTCGAGCAAAAGCACTCTGGAAAGCGCTGAAATAGTCCAATCAAAGCTCTTGGTTTATTCTATTCGATAAGCCTATCAGATCGATCATACGATCATTTTTGGCCTTATTCCGCCAATGGAAAGTAAATGTCGGAATAATTGTGGACCAGAGTAGCATTTTTTAATATTAGCATTTTTAACCACACAACTCGACGACACTCAGGTGATCATTAGGTGGTATGGATTTGTCGAAGGTTATCTTTATCGACCCACCAAGCTAGGTTGGGCACGAAGGAACTGATGGCGGTATTGGTCCCATGTAGTAGTCGTTCTGGAGGTCCGATATGCATCCAGAGTCACTAGTACACGGGTCCAATACAGCGACAGCCCTTGTTAGGATATGTGATAGGGGAGGCACGGAGGGATGACTGATGCGGTTTTCCACCAGTGTAGTAGTGGTTCTGTAGGTCCAATAAGTCTATCAGAACCACCACTACGAGGGCTTAATTGCGATATATACGTTGCTAGGATGTGTGATTGGTCTGCGTTGGTGGTGCTCCAGGGGGCGTTGCCATTTGTGGACTTGGATGGTCACTTAATAGTGGTTGGGATTGGAGAGACATAGCTGTAGCAACGTTATTTATTCTCTTGGTCCTCCAATACCCATGAGTTTCTTTGAGTATGAATTGGCTTGCTTACTCATTAGGGTACATTTTTAACTGTATTTCGTGGTACTAGTAGTTTTAAGGGGCCATATCAAGCTGTTTGGCGTTGGTCATCTTGTTGCTATGGCTAAATTGCTACTATGACAAGGGTGTACAAGCCTTGCATCCTGACTATCATCCATAGGCTTTCAGCACCGATCTGCACTTGATGTGGGATGTCGTAGCGATCACGCTCTTGCACGACAACTATTTTGTTCCCCCCCCCGCCAATTTTCGGCTTCACGATCCGCTTGATATGACATATCCGGAATACTGTAGCATTTTATTTTGGATTCATGTATACATAGAGGTTTTGTTCATTTAGTGACCGGGTTGTCGCCCAACCCGGGGAAGAATGTTGGTCAACACCCCTTCCCACGTTTTCCACCGGATACTAAGGGTGAGACGAATAACCAAGAATTAATTAGAGACCTTTAGCAAATCTGTAATTTGATCAAATTCCCGAAATAAACTATGTTCGAATTCACTTCGGGAATTTGATTCGGATATTTGAAGTTACACCTTTAGCAATCACGGAATTTGCAATTTCGATGCCAAAACCATTACTAACAAATTAAACCCCGTTCATTGGCTTAGTAAGTGTTGACGATTAACCAGTCGTAAAGATGCGTCCGCGTGCCGCTCTCCTTGCTGCATGAGATCAAGTACCCAAGATCAACTACCGCAGTGCCCATGAGCATCACGTCAACATGCTCACGGGCACTGCGGTAGTTGATCTTGGGTACTTGGTCACTAAGGCCACTTGCAACCAACTTCCATCGCTGCAGCAGCTCGCCGTGGTCTGCTCCTAATGGTTCGATTCGTGTCACCTCACGCAGGAGGGCAACCTCTAGGTCTTCCGTCCATGCAACGTACTTGACTGGTGGTTGAGGTTGTGTGTCAACCATTGGAGTGAATTCGAAGTACATGTAAGAACAGTTCATCTACGCCCAGCAAGCACAATCCACCACCCATTGCATTTTGATGTATTTTGATTGACTTAGACATTTCGGTAATTTGAAGTTCAAATATACGGAATGGACATGCGATTTCGTATATTTGAGCCAAATTCCGAGCGGAATTTGGCCTTCACGAAGTTCGTAGCTGTGAGTAACCCGAAGTTTGATTTCGGGAATTTCAAATTACGGGTTTGCTAAAGGTCTCTATTAGAAGAGCGTAGTCCCCGCTCAATTGATGTGTCCAATTGAGGTCCATGGGATTTACCTGTCGAATCCTATGTAATGCTTACATTCGGATAACCTTTTTAATGTAATGTATGCGACAAAATGTACGACTTCGAATAACCTTCATAAAATAATGCTTGCGAAAGGATGCCGTGTCTTCAAATAACCTTCATAAAATAATGCTTGCGAAAGGATGCCGTGTCTTCAAATAATCTTCTCAAAGCAATGAATGCATTACATGCGGAAAGGTTTGAAAGCCAGCTCTGTGAACAAGGTAACGTAATCATTCCGCCTGTTTAATAGTGGTACTAACAGTGGTACTCACCCATTTAACAGTGGTAGAAATCCTTAACGTTTTTCAGCTTAAATTGCATGGTATTCAGCTTTCCTTAACGTTTTTTTTCCTGCCGTGCCTTCAGAAGGAACTGTACTTTCCAGATTAATCAGTCAAATTAGACTATTGTTGATTGCATTCCAGAATACCATAATTACTAAACGATGGTAATAAATAGTGCATTGAATATCTTGCGATAGCTTAATATGACGCATTTTGACAGGTACGTTGAACTTGGTTAAAGTATGTATTTATTATTATGACGGACGTTTACCTTACACTTGATTAATGTATTGCGCACAATCGAAAATGTACTGTGCGTTACAATGTACTGTATATTAAAGAAGTAGCATACTATGTACTGTACGCATTACTATGTATGTACTGTTCTACTGTAGTACATGTACTGTTGTTGTAACAGTCCTCAGGAAAAGTACAGTCGCATAGTTCAGATTAATCAGCCAAATTAGACTATACTAAACCATGGTCATAAATAGTGCATTGAATATCTTGAGATAGCTTAATATGACGCATTTTGACAGTTACGTTGAACTTGATTAAAGTATGTATTGACTATTACCACTCTTGGTCCGGAATAATTGGTGTACAGTGAACTCGGTATTAACTCGCAAGTGTTGCACATCAAACAATTTTAGAGGTTGTATGGAGCCATCAATTATCAGTTTTGGAATTATTTTCTTCCAATTGTACATGTGGACGTTTACTACTTCATTCACCCCGTGTGATTGGTGAATCCTATGCTAAAATTATTCATTACGTACTCTGAGCATATATTATCAAACTTGAAAAATACGAGGTAGAGCCTTTTCGAACGACTTTTTCACCGATGATTCAGAAATGGATTCCCAGGCGCTGATGGTTCTCTC